CGTAAGGTGGCTGCAAGTGGGAGAAAAATCGTGAGTAGCGTTATAGGTAACACCCTGTATATTCGAAATATGTAATATTTTTAATCTTTCTGTTTTCACTTTTAGTTTCCTTATTTTCATTGAGCCAATACTACTGCAAATGGGTATTATATCACATTATCTGGAAATGTTAAGATTTTTTAATACAATGACATAAAATTAATTAGATCTTATTAATCATGAATATAAAATACATAAAAATTTGCCAATAGTAAATGCTAATAGTTAATGATTAAGTATAATATGTTAAATATCTGAAAATGGTGTCATATATATTTCTTTGGTATTTTATTGTAAATACTATGCACTGATTCTATAGTCATGAAGAGTGGTCCCAGTGAAAGAGACAATGATAGAGATCTTTAATAATTAATCTTATCGTTAAACTGTAATAGATTATATAGAACTTAAAATAGATACATTACTTAAAATAAAGGAAAGAATATTGATGTACTTAAGTTAAAAGATAGCATTGTAATAAAATTTTTCATATAAATAAGTTTTACAGAATTAATAACCTTTCTGTTGAAAGATGTGCAACTGACCATTTTATACTTAATAATTTTCGTTTTTATAGATTTATTATATCCAGAAGAGGAGGTGATGATAAGTAAAGGTTCTATAAATTAACACTAAACTTCTATAACATATGTGCACTCTTCTTATGTCACTATTCATACTTCAATCATAGTTTTCACCAATAGAAGTTTGGGACATTATTTTGTTATTTCGTTAAGACACACATCAAAAGAGTGACAGAAAGAACCAAGATAATTTCTTTGTAATATAATATAAAACTTTTTAAGGAGATATATATTACGTACATCATTTGTACATGTACAAATAATAAAAAGCCTTCTGTAAAAAAGTAGATATTTAACTAGAATTTGAGCAAAATATAATAACTTTAATATAATTAATTACAATCCATATATATTTGTAATCTTTTTATATTTGTTTGAAATGTTCATAAAATTAATTACAATATCAAGGTTACTATGCCTATATTAAGTGGAAATTTTTAATTATTGAAACATGTTTGAAACATTACATAACTTTTTACTTATTAAATGATTTTTAAATTCATCATATTAAGAATTTTACCTTAAACACAATACACAAATAATGTAAGCAAAAATATATAAATTATCCGTTTGCACACAACAGGTTATATGCTCACTATTCAGTTTAATAAAATAATTTGAAATAGATTTTTTTTTAGTAAATCTATAGTGGTAAATGTATGATGTATAAGCATAGCGATACAAACTATAGTGACAATTAATAATTCAGAAATAATAACTTCAGAAGAAGTCATCAAATATTTCAACTGAAAAGTTTTAGATTTGCTATCTGTCAATAGTAAAAGTGTCTTTAAGTGCCAATGTTAATAATATATGAATATTTCTAAAGCACTATATAATTTTGTACCTATTCTATAAGTATTAACTATGTTAGTAAATAAGTGTGATGAGGAATACCTCATTCACTTACTTAAATTTCTTATTCTACTAGTAATTTATAAGGTATTTGTAATACAAATTTTTAAATTTGAAGGAGAAGTGAAACTGAAACCCTATTAATATTTTTTTCTATATCAGGATAAATGCTATTTATGAAACGATAATGTATTTACTGGGATACCTAATTCTTCATTTGTTTTAATAAAGTTCTTTTTTGACTGTATATTATTATTACTTACATTCAGTTAGATATACAGGGTGTCCCGCAATTAGTGTAGGACCCGAAAAGGGGTGGTAGGTGGGGCGATTCTGAACAACTTTTTCTTTTGCCAAAATATTGGTTGAGCGTGAGCAAAAGCTTCGAATATGACGGCCGATCGTCGTCGTCAACAAATGTATCGATACTGTCGGTATAACGTCGGTATAACGTCGGAATA